AATACAATGTATCGAATTCCCTCAACTTCTCCTCTTAGTATTTAGTTTCCAGTTCTTTGATCATCTTCATCCTCATTGTCTTTGTTTGTTTGTGTGTTTGTTTCTGCAGCTGTTCTAGTTCGTCTGAATTCTTGTGAACCATGGTACCTGGAATTAGACTCAACATTATCCCCACCTCCTTAGATTATTGCCATGAGACAGCATGTTTAAACTTAGATATGGCTAAGATTTATAACATGTTCGTTATAACATTCTTGCTGTTCGTCACCGAAGACAAATTCCTTGTATATATTTTATACTTGGTCATTAAAGTCTTTTGTATTGTATTTGTATGTAAGACCAGTAATCTGATCAGATACTGTAGTAATTGGAGAACAGTCAATAATCAGTATATACTCTTGGCTTTAACGAAGATAAACTCAGCAGATAATACAGAAATGTGGAAATTGCCTCTCAATTTTTCTACGTTTTTAACAGAAAGCATATTCATTTCTAATAAATTAAAACCATTATAAATTTGCCATTTTAATTTATTAGAAATTCCCCTAAATAAAATCAGTAACTGACTTCATTGTACTTTATGCACAACAGAAAGGGAGTTAGTAAACTGGAATTCTAAATTAACACTGTTACATATGCATTTCATTTTGGAAAAAGAAGCTAAAACCCTTTAGCTTGATTCCACATAGTAAGCACATATAGGAAACCAGCAAAGTCAAAATGAGAAACAGATTCTCTTTTTCTTCTACTAAAACACTTGGTAGGAATCTAGCTGTCCTTTATTCTGGAAATAATCCCATGGTTGTTTTGTTAAAGAATTTTCTTGAAAAGAATTAGGCATTTGTTCAAAACTTTCAAAAGGACTTTTGATCTGAGAAATGGCCACAGACACATATATTATTTTATCTGACATTCATACCCCTTAAAACAAAATTGAAATCTATTAGCGGAACTGAAGACAAGATCACGTTGGTTCTGCTTATATAATTCTTCTGACTCTTCCTTGAAAGGCACTTGTTGTCTGGAAGGAACAAGTCTCACAGTCCTTTTATCTTCCTCCTTATCCCAAACAATTTATTTGTTATGTAAAAACTTACCTGTGGCATGTTTCAAAGAGAAAAATCCTCAATATACCAGTTCTAAGCAGAGCTGACACAAATAAAATGAAAGTAAATGTTCCAGGGACAGATCTCTGACTTCCAGCTGTGAATGTGGAATAATATGAACCTGAGCCAGGTTGTCTGGTAACCCAGCCTCCTCACTTCCCTGCCAATCACTCAAATACTAAAGCCAACAGAAAAACAGGACTGGAACACAGAAGATGGTGGGGAAGGGGTTGTTGCACAGTTCTTCTCAATGCAATCACTGAGAAAAGACAAGGAACAATACAACAGTGCAGAACAATATGGCACTATCCAGATGTGTTCCACTACTGCTCCCTAAATCACAGCCATATTGATTGAGAGTTATGAGATCTGTAATCATGTACATCTAGAAAGTGTAGGTTGAAGAAGCCTTGGCAGGATGTTATCTTTGGCACTGGAATGAAACATAGAAGGAAAGAGAAGGAGCAACTATATTTAGAAATGAACAAAAGGAAAGAAAAGGAAGAGCTTTCTTTAATGTATCCCCTTCCCCCTCAAATGAACTGAATTCATTTTAATTGGAATGGGGGGTGCTTGTAGTATATCATAGACCCCAATCACAGACCCTGTTCAGATAATTTGTAACTGGCTCAGACAGGCAAGGAAAACTTGCCTATGGAACACTGTATGTATATACATACTTAAGTACAGTATACCATTTCAGGTAACCAGAGTAGAGGCAAAACTGGCAAGCTAACCTTTCATGCATAGCAAAGTTTTCCAGTTTAAACAAGATGGCAGATACATTCAGTAATACATAAATAAGATCTTCTGATTTAAATACGGATATACAGCATAAGTTATGGGAATGCACTTCAAACTATAGGTGTGGTTGTCCATTTTGATTGGTTCTTCATATAACATAAAATACTAGCATATTAGTACATCAGGAGAAATGTTCTCAGCTACTCACAGCTTTCTCTGTTCAGTTTCTATATAAGTGTGCTTTTAATGTATGGGATAATTAAACATGTAACTTCCTCCAACACAGTCCATGCTGATACAGCCCATTTTATCATCTCATTATTTTGAAGCTGTATTTTGCACCTCTCCTCCAAATGCTTTGCTTATTAGTAGGTGGGAGATTTGGCATCAAGGAAGATACATGGGCTTCCTTTTTATCTAGCTCCATCAGACCAATTGGCACAGGCAACATTACATACCACAGACATGTACACTTTTTAAAGAGCAGACCTATTTTTACCCTAAAGAAAAGGCAGCACAAATGCTGAAATGTGGTTGCAAAATTCCAGTTTGGATTCCCCTATAATGCAACATTATGAGGGAATCCAAAATTGAAAACAGCAAGGCAATCTCTGTTTTCAAGAACCTGGAGTGCATACTCAATCAATTAATAGCAACATAATTTGCTTAAAAGTGCAGTGTGGAAATATCTTGGGTTAAAGCACTTTTGAAATCTATAAAATGAACCTATAATCGGTATTTATAAATGATTGTTGGAATATACTAAATTAAATATTCAAGGCCATGGAATACATGGAATGTCCAAGACATACATTTCAATGAAAGACTAGTTTGACATCTATATATCATGTTCCTATACATATAAAATGAAAATTAATTTAGTAAAAAATATTGTTTTGTGTATATTGTAAATGTATGTCTTTTCAGGAAGACATTGGTGGATTTACTGTAGCTAATCAATGGAAATGCAACATTAGTTTACATGATGTTTACATAAACATTTCATTTCAGATAGATGTTATTTCACATATTAATTTTGTTCTGGAAAGTTCCCTGGTAGGTATTTACATCATTTAGAATTAATTCCTAAAAGTTGGAAACTACCACAAGAACACTTGAAATGGATACTGCACCCCTTTATAATCATAAAAAAATAGATCCAAAAAGGAAGAAAGGACACCCATTCCCTTGGTGATAGCCTGATGGCCGACTTACTATGAGCTCCCTGCATCAAAAGCAGAATATAAATCAATAAATCCATGGTGCAATCCCAAGCATGTCTACTGAGGTTTACTGAATTTAATGGGACTTTATCATAAATATATGAAAAAAACCCATAAACCTACAGTTGAGATATCTTAGATTAATGCAATGTGCTCTGTATTGCATATTCTAACAGAAGCTTTTGTTTTGATTTTATTTTACTTTTTCTTGGTAGTATTGAAAGTTTCCCCAAATGACAGATACACATTTATGTCTTCCTTACTGATAAAAGACTGCTAAATGTGCAGATTCAATAGTCTAGTACAACTCCATTCCAAGCAAAACACAATATACACTTGTGTATCATTTTTCCTCCCTGAATGTGCATGTTTTGGTGGAGAAAACCAAAATATGGTGCACAAGGAGTGAAGTTGTATCTCTTCCCTATCCAAGGGAATCAGAGCCAATATCACCAGTGGAAACCTAGGCTTTTCCTTCAGTTCCAAATCTGAATTGATCAAGGAAATAGGCACAGTTTAAAGTTATGTCGGCTATATGGCAGAAAAGATCTAGGGGGGTTAAACTGTTTACGGGTTTCTGCATCAAGATTTATCCTATTGTTACACAACTTAGTTTAACATATTAATAACAATCAGTACTCACATAGTGGTTCACCCCAAAGCTCAGATGGCAGCACCAGCACCTAGCTAACCTTGGCTGATCTCAAAAGAGAGGTTTGACCTGATTAGTATTTGGATTGAAGCCCATCAAAAGATCCCAAGACTAGGCTGAGAAATCAAAAAGCTTCCTGGAAAAATGAAGTGGCAAAGTATTCCATGTAGCAGCTTCTGTGAATGAGATTAGTTATCAATAAATCTCCCTCCAATTCAAAGATTTACTAATTAATTAGGATTCACAATTCTTTTACTGAATCCTGGCCAGAGATTTCAGTTCAGTAATGAGCCCAACTTTCGATACATACATATGAATGCATGATACCAAGAATGGAACTATGGGTCAATAATGTTCATATGGTCTTCTACCAAGTGAACACATATTAATTTTATATAACTAACAAAGTGACCAATAATCAATATTATTAAAAAGGTCATTTCTAGCTCCAAATTTACTTTAATTATGGACAAGCTATCTATGGAATAGATACTATAGAAGGTGTACTGTGATGTTCCTACTTAACCGTCATTGAAGCATGCTAATTCAGCCTAAATCTCTGTTGTCTGAAATATGGATTTAGCTACTGGTTAATGAGAATGATAACAGCATTAATATATGCAATTAATGGAGCACTGTGACCTGAAAATATCAGGAAGTACTCTTCAGAGAATTGCCTCTGGCCAGGCACTGAAGCAGAAAAAGAATTTGAAGGACTGTGCAGAATTATCCTTGTCTTTTTGTTCTACGCATACCTGAATGAAGGCACACACATACAAAAATACACATAAATTCCAACTTCCAAATTATACTTCCAATTTGCAAAACTGCTTGTTTGCCATTGCTCAAACAGGGCAATTCCAACATTTCTTTATGACAAATGCCATGCTTGCCTCAAGCACATAATATAGGGAGACAGCAGAATCTGTACCTGGATTACAGTATAAGCACACTGCTTGTCTTTTTCAGAGCTAAGGCTCAGTCCCAAATACAGGATCTCCTAGTGAAAATGACTGGGACTTAACCATTTTTCTTCGTTCTTATGTACCTCTGAAAAAGTTACCTCTTTTCTACCGTCTAATGTTAACATGACAAGATAGCTTAGCATTCCCCTTCTTTCTTGACAAGATGCCCCAGAGATTGTTATGTCACGAAGAGTAATCCAACAGGCGCAACTTTCTCCAACAGCATCTGCAGTACGCCAAAAGCTGCTGCTGTTGAATTTCTAAATTCAAAATTAAAATCAGCCATCAATAGACACATAGAAATAAACCATATTTATGCACCATTCAAAAAAGGCAATAAGAAAGCTACGAAGGGAACAAGAAGACCAGAACACATCTTCTCCAGCAGCCAACACCCAGGGATTAACACCAGGCAAACAAACAAAATTAAGCAGGGATTAACACCAGGCAAACAAACAAACAAACAAAATACCCTAATCAAATAACTGCCAAGGAGAAAACCACCAACACTGGCCAGGCAAGCTACTGTATATAAACAGGGAGCAAGCCCCACACTCACCAGCACTGATGATGTTACCTAGTTGGGTAATGGAACGTCTGCAAGCAAACGACCAAGCTCAGAGAACACCCAAGAGTCCACAGTTCAACCCTGAGCCACATATATTCTCTACTGGAATTTCTGCTTGTCACCAAATGTTAACAGTGCACAAGTATTGTATGGCTAAGAAACTGGTGGGAATCATATTGGGAATATTCACTGTCTTTCCCTAGTTTATATGATCTTGACAGAAGCTATGTGCCTTGAACAGATTATCAAGCAGAAATTTAACAGGTATCACTTCCTCAGGACCTAGAGAGGAATACCCAGTTCTTTCTTTGTTAATGTTTTACACTGAAAAAGTATATAGCTTTAAAAATAGAGGCACAAGTCCTCTTTCAGAGGTGCCACCTACTGTTGAATTTTTTACTATGGACAGTAGACACTGTGTACTTATTAGGTCTATCTTTTAATCTGACCTACTCCAATGTTATCTTATTTCAAACTACAGTAAATTATTTGTTTCCAAAAATCAAGGACATGATAAAAACTGCTTTAGAAGACCAGTAGGAACACTAGAATGGATGGGATTCTCTCACTCAAATTTCATTTTTCAATCTTTCTTAATAGGTCAGGAAAGGTGCATTAATATATTTATAAAATCTTATTCAGAGCATACATATTTCAATCAGAAACATCCTGAATCATTTTCTTTACTCATAACCTTAAACCCAGTTCATCCCTCTTTACAAGGAGTAAAGATGTCTATTTCTGCCTTTGAAAACAAGATAATATTTGTTCAAGTGGGAAAAATAACATATTCCATATTGCTTTAATTCTTATGATTGGCAAATACAATTATAAGTACACAAAGTGTGCTCTGAGGCTGAAATGATAAATATTGTTCCTTGTTGATAGAAATCGACCCGACTTCACTTGCATAAAATAAATTCGCTCTGCT